TTCAATGTAAAAAGAATAGTTATTTTTTTATGGATAATTATCACAATATAACCAGCCTGGCCAATTATGATTATGTAATTATCTTAAAAGGACACATGTCATCAGCATACTAATTCAAGAAGTCTAGAATTAGAGGCATGGAGGAAGGAGAAAGGGGTATAGAAATTGAAAATTCTAGAAATTCTGCCAAAGAACTCTATATTATTATTAAATGTGCAAAGAGTTTCAGTATTTAAGTATTTATTTATTTATATAAAAAATATTTTAAAAACTAAAATTTAAATAATAAAATTTAAATTAACCTATTTATCTATTTATTATTATGAATTTTTTAGTAAAATAAAATCTAATTAGACAATAATTATTAGTATAAAAAAATATTTATTAATTGATATATATAAAAACATAATTTTTCTAAAACTCTACCATAAATTAGCTTTTATTATGAGTTTCTTAATAAAATTAAATCTAATTAGACAAAGATATATTTAAAGAAAATAAAATAATTTATATAAAACTCTATCACAAATTACCTATTTTATTTTTAATAAAACTCTATCACACTAGACAAAGATATATTTAAAGATTTTCTATAAAACTGTAACACAAATTACCTATTTATCTATTTATTATGAGTTTTTTAATAAAAGAAAATCTAATTAGACAAGTATTATTAATATTAAAAATTATTAATTAATTAATATAAAAAGAGGTTTTAAAATAGTTTCTATAGAATTCTAACACAAATTACCTATTTATCTATTTATTATGAGTTTTTTTAGTAAAAGTAAATCTAATTAGACAAGAATTATTAAAATAAAAAATATTTATTAATTACAAAATTACCTAATAATATCAATCACATTCTATATAAAACTCTTATTTTTAGTTCAATATAAAAAGAATAGTTATTTTTTATGTATAATTATCACAATATAACCAGCCCGCCCAATTATGATTATGTCATTATCAGAAAAGGACACATGTCATAATTCTATTAATCCAGAAAGCCTATAAATAGAGGCATGGAGGAAGGGGTACATAAATTGAGAATTCTAGAAATCTAGAATTACAGAGTAAAATACAAAAGCTCTGCCAAAGAGTTTCAACATTTATTAAAAAAAATTTTTATCTATACTATTATTAGATGTGCAAAGAGTTTCAGTATTTATTTATTTATATAAAAAAAAATATAGACACTAAAATCTACATAATAAAGAGTTTCTATAACACTCTAACACAAATTACCTATTTATCTATTTATTGTGAGTTTTTTTAATAAAAGGAAATCTAATTATAGACAAGTATTACTAATATAAAAAATTATTTATTAATTGATATAAAAAGAGGTTCAAAAAAGTTTCTATAAAAAACTCTAACACAAATTACCAATTTATCTATTTATTATGAATTTTTTTAATAAAAGTAAATCTAACTAGACAAGAATTATTAAAATAAAAATATTTATTAATTGATATAAAAAGAATTTTTAAAAGAGTTTATATTAAACTATAACATCAATTACCTATTTATTTATTTGTGATAAGTTTTTTAATAAAAGAAATTCTAATTAGACAAGAATTATTAATATAAAAAATATTTTTTAATTGATATAAAAAATAAAATAATTTTTCTAAAACTCTATCACAAACTACCTTTTATTGTGAGGTTTTTTTTTATTAATAAAAGGTAATCTAATTTGACAAGAATTATTAAAATTTAAAAATATTTATTAATTGATATAAAAAGAGTTTTTAAAAAAGTTTCTATTAAACTGTAACATAAATTACCTATTTATTTATTTATTATAAGTTTTTTAATAAAAGAAAATCTAATTAGACTAGAAAAACTCTATCACAAATTACCTATTTTATTTTCAATAAAATTATAATACATTAGACAAAGATATATTTTAAGATTTTTTATAAAAACTCTAATACAAATTACCTATTTATCTATTTATTTTGAGTTTTTTAATAAAAGAAAATCTAATTAGACAAGTATTGTTAATATAAAAAATTATTTATTAATTGATATAAAAAGAGGTTTTAAAAGAGTTTCTATAAAACTCTAACACAAATTACCTATTTATTTATTTATTGAAATCTAATTAGACTAGAATTATTAATATAAAAAAATATTTATTAATTAATATAAAAAGAGTTTTTAAAAGAGTTTCTATAAAATTCTAACACATATTACCTATTTATCTATTTATTATGAGTTTTTTTAATAAAAGAAAATATAATTAAACAATAATATATTTAAAGAAAATAAAATAATTTTTATAAAATCTACCACAAATTGGCTGTTTTATTTTCTATAAAACTCTATCACATTGTTTACAAAACATTCAGTACGTGCATCGCACGTATCTTTTCCTAGTATATATATATATATATATATATATATATATAGATATATAAACGTACATAATTATAAGATCTCTTTTATCAATTAGAAAATCGCATTACTTTCGCCCTAATAAATGTGTATTTTCACATATGGTGTCATCAATATTCACTTAAAAATAGAGGAATCATTATTATACTATTACAGACAAAAATAAATAAACATATAGATAAAAAAATAAAAAAATAAAAAAATTGAATGTAAATTTTGAAAGAAACCGCCAAATATTCAAAACTATCAAATAATTTCTACACTTTGTAAGAGGAAGTATTATTTTACCTTAATGCTTTCATGATTATTATATGCCTTAATTGCACTTAACCCCTAAACTTCTAGCACACTTATACTATGATTTTTGGCATACGCTCTCTAAACTGTATTTAAAAAATAATAATAATAATAAATAAATAAATTGGACATCAAATCGGTGTTGTCAATAAATAAATAATTGTCTGCTAAATAAGGAGGTGAAATGACTTTATTGCCCATTTTAAAGACATTTCACAGCTCTATTTAAGAGATGGATAAGGGGTAATAAGCAATTTTCATTTTTAGTAATTCAAGGAGCTTATTTGCCAAAAACATAGTAGTTCTAAGAGTTTATGTGCACAAAATTGTAGTGCACGAGGGTTAAGTGTAATTAACCCTTATTGTATATAGTTTTAACTGACAAGTGGAGTTAAACACAAACAATATAGTATTTTGTAATATGATTTTGGTAGCCTAAGTAGACATTTGATTTTTGTTGACCCCTGATGTATTGGAGGAATTTGTTGCAAGATAGGAACGTTAGGGAAGGCCAACACCATTTTTGTATGAAAAAGGGAGGTCCATGTAAAAATATGCTATACCCGTAGGGCTCTTCTAATAAATGAAATCAAAACCATCAAAAATGAAGTTGAAGTGCTTTTTGTTGAGTGTGAATTTATTTTTGAAATACAATTATGTCATTTCTTTTTCTTAAAAAAAAAAATGCAAAAGGAGTACAATGCAATTAGTGTGAATATCATTTCCTTTTAATCAAAGAGAGGCCAAAAAGTGATGATTCCGAATACGGACAGCTATCGAGAAATCCATCTTTTGCGTGTAAGGCCAACTACGACATCGGTGAGCCAATAATGTCCTGTCACACTTGCATCATCACGAAAATGCATGCAATGTTCAGAATGGTGCTGAAAATTTTGTTTTTTCAAGCACGAAAACCCGCTGCAAGCTACGTGAAGCACAGTGAATGATTGATTCAGCTGTATTCAAAACAACCACGCAGGGTTGATCAGGTCCTCTTATAAACCAAAACCTTGCAGCCTCTTCAAAGTTCTAGTTTCGCCCTAATAAATGTGTATTTTCACATATGGTGTCATCAATATTCACTTAAAAATAGAGGAATCATTATTATACTATTACAGACAAAAATAAATAAACATATAGATAAAAAAATAAAATAAAAATTGAATGTAAATTAGTGATGGATAAGGGGTAATAAGCAATTTTCATTTTTAGTAATTCAAGGAGCTTATTTGCCAAAAACATAGTAGTTCTAAGAGTTTATGTGCACAAAATTGTAGTGCACGAGGGTTAAGTGTAATTAACCCTTATTGTATATAATTTTACTGACAAGTGGAGTTAAACACAAACAATATAGTATTTTGTAATATGATTTTGGTAGCCTAAGTAGACATTTGATTTTTATTGACCCCTGATGTATTGGAGGAATTTGTTGCAAGATAGGAACGTTAGGGAAGGTCAACACCATTTTTGTATGAACAAGGGAGGTCCATGTAAAAATATGCTATACCCGTAGGGCTCTTCTAATAAATGAAATCAAAACCGTCAAAAATGAAGTTGGAAGTGCTTTTTGTTGAGTGTGAATTTATTTTTGAAATACAATTATGTCATTTCTTTTTCTTAAAAAAAAAAAAGCAAAAGGAGTACAATGCAAATTATGCAACTAGTGTGAATATCATTTCCTTTTAGTCAAAGAGGCCAAAAAGTGATGATTCCGAATACGGAAAGCTATCGATAAATTCATCTTTTGCGTGTGTAAGGCCAACTACGACATCGGTAAGCCAATAATGTCCTGTCACACTTGCATCATCACAAAAATGCATGCAATGTTCAGAATGGTGCTGAAAATTTTGTTTTTTCAAGCACGAAAACTCGCTGCAAGCTACATGAAGCACAGTGAATGATTGATTCAGCTGTATTCAAAACAACCACGCAGGGTTGATCAGGTCCTCTTAGAAACCAAAACCTTGCAGCCTCTTCAAAGTTCTAGTTTCTGTCTCACAAATTTCGATATATAACCTAACAATATATATTACTTTTGTATACACAGATAGGTTGAAGTCCAGTAAATATTAGATCTGAAATGCACTAAATTGTCTGCATCATAAATGTGCTAAAAGGGGTAACTTCAGCTGAGGTCTATTGTAAGGCTACACCATAACATTCAGGCAACTACACCTACTTTAAACACTTCTTTCTAAAAAATATACAATGTTCTTACTGTAAAATTTTGAAGATTACCGAAGAAAACTAATAAATTTTACGAAAAACAGTACAAAGCATGGAAGTGCAACAAGTAGAGAGAGTCAAAAGAATCCATCCACTTGGTTGCTTCAAAATTGTATCTTGTTCGATACAGAAAGAATATGCTTTACCAGCTACAGCAAGAAACGAAATCTCTAGGAAGAGAGAGAAAAGAAAAATGAATGCAATGACATCATATAGATGCAATACAAGCATCACATGTTACAACAAAATTTTTTGCTACTTATATTCTTTACCAGCATTAAAATAAACAAAAATGTGATGGCCTTCATTAAATGTCCCCAGGGTCACTGATTTCCTGCAAATATAAAAGTGATTAATTATCATTTGAGGTAAAATTAAACAAAATCAAGACCCCCTCAAACAAAAAATTAATTAGAAGAAATAAATAAATAAATGAATGGTATCTGATAAAGTTCCAGAATTTCTTTACCTTATTTTCAAGTACTACTCCATCAGGAATTTCTAATTTTATCCCAGGTTTTGCAACAATAGTTACTTTGCCCTTGAATCAAAGGAGACAAATGTCAAACAAACAAAATGCAAAACAAATGAATCAACTCTGTACATCAATGTGAAGAAAAGTGTAGAATATATTCTTCCAACAGAACAGAAATAAAAATCACAACTTACTCCATACCAGCTATCCGGATAACCTTTTGTGAGTGCGTGCATGTGAGTATGAAGCTGTCTAGCTTCACGTAAGGTAATCGAGTCCAAAACAAGCAACAAAATAAGTAAAGCACTAATAACACAATAGGGCACATCTGATACCTTGAGGGTTACACCAGCTCCAAACCAAACATCACCAGAGACCCTTAAGCTATCAAGCTCAATGATGCTAGGAATGGACTTGAAACGACTGTGGAAGTCACTAATCTGAGAAGAAGGAATTTATAAATAAAAAATTAACTACCACTCTTATAAAGCTAAAAGCACCATGTTGCTTAAATAAATATTCACCTTTTCAAATTCAGGTCCTAATTCAATAAAAGGATTGGCAGGACTTGTTCTATCTCTATTTCGGATTAGAACACCTTTAGCACAGGTGTACAGATCTGACTGCATAAGCAAATGAAGGTAATAATCTAAGCCTCAAATCAACAGTTGATAGAATAGTAACATAGTAGACAGACCCAAGTCTAACCTGAGCAAGCAGTAGATCTGACGTTGTTGACATTGAAAGAAATCGAGAATGGGGCACATTAATACCAATAGCACGATTGAAGAACTGGCTCAAATATAAAGGTGATCAAGAATCAGCAATATTTAATGGTAGACAACAAAAGGAGAATTAACATTAATGACAAATACCCGCATTGTTGAACTAGCTGCTGTTTCTTGCAAAAGACCTTTATCAACATTCATAGCCTGGAAAGAAGCAGAATATCATAAATTCATTGCTCATTGAACTTCAGAACTCTCCAAAAATGGATGAGGAAACAATGATACCTTCAAAACAGTACAATTCTCAATTTTCAGTGCATTATTTTCCAGAAGCCTTTTTATGGCCTTCAGGTTCACCCACCTATACAAATTAGCATTAATCTGGGTTTCTGGATTTGAAGTACATTTGGATTTTGGAAGCAAATGACAATTTCATTAGAGGACACATTTCACTTACAAGTTCTTTGTATCAATAAGTTTGAACTTCTCCATTGACTCAAATTTAACCTGGGTAAAACACAAAGGAAGACGTAATATTCAGACCAGTAACACAACTAATAAATGATGTTATACTAAAAAGAAAAATATTTCCTTCATTACAAACTGATTTTCAAAATGGAAAAGATATACATGAAATGGAAAGGGGAGCCGGAACAAGTTAATCATATCTTACATTATTGACAGGAAAATGCGCAATTTCAGAAAGCTGCATCATAGAATGACAACAACAATGTTAGCCAAGGCTATCCTCAAAAACATAAAAAGGAACTACTTGTGTTAATCACTACTTGACTACCATCCACTCCTTAGTACTCAATTTCAATCAATGAGCTTCGTGTCTGAGGTATTAAACTTGGCCAATTATATTTTGGTTAGGGTTATAGGGTTAAGGTTTCAAGTTCTTGTTTAATAAATGAGATAGCATTAGTTTATTAAGAAAGATAAATATTAACTGAGTTTCATTATGTCGCCATCTTCCAACAGTTCCCTAAAAATATAATGGGGAAAAATACGAGAACCCCTAGAGAAGATAAATTGTTCTGGGGAACCTTGGAAGAAGAAGGAAAAGATGATCCAAACTAACGGTAGGTAGTCTCACGCGCAAGGTGGAAAGAATTGAGAACAAAGCGGCATTTGGTGCATAACCTGTGGATCACTAGAACAGTTCAGGTCAAATCTTGAAGAAAGCTATAACGCAGTCAAGGACAACATCATCAATGCCTTTATTGCGTATGAACAGAGTCAACCAAATAGATTTTCTTTTTCCATCATAAGAGATTTCTTCTATTACGGTTTTATTTTATAAAGTCATTTTCATTACTTCATTAAATGTTCATTTTTGTCGACCTCTTTGTTTCCTGCCCTCTGTAGAAATCAATCTGCCTTTTCTTGCCGGTGCATCTAGAGATATACGTTGAATATTTCAATACATCTAAGTCTACTTTCCCTTATTTTTCTCACTAACTGACGCTACTCCTACCATTTCTCATACACATTGATTATTAACCTTATCCAATCTAGTTACTACAAATATCCATCTTAGCATTCGCATTTTAGACATTGAATGTGTCGTTCTTGTTTCTTATTAACGCCCAACACTCTGCTCCATATAAGATAGCCTGGTCTAATGATAGTCCTATATACTTTTCCTTTTAATCTATTTGGTGACAATTTATCACACAACACACCATTGGCTTGCCTCCATTTTGTCTAACCTATTCCAATTCTACTGCTTATATCACCACCAATCTCTCCATCTCTTTGTATAATTGATCCTAAATAATAAAAATGATTGCTTTGAGTATCATTTCCTACAGCTTACTAAATTTACATTCATTATATTATGGACCAACTCCGGGTTCGAGTCCTGGCAGCAGAATTACTTTCTTATCAACCAAAAAAAAAAAAAAAAAAAAGTCTTCATTGAATTTTTTAAACCTTTTGACTGTAGTACCTTTCCCTGAGTTTCTTTCTTTCTTCCTTAAGTAACCTTTCTCCAAGTTTCTAATTTTATTGCTACATTTTCCTATAATCCTATCATCAAAAAATAACATACACCATGATCTGTCCCCTTGTAAGTCTTTAGTTATCTCATCCAAGATTATCGTAAATAAAGATGAACTTAGCACGGATACTTGGTGTAATCCTATTGTTAAAGGAAAATCATTAGTCTCTTCACATATACAATTTCTAGTTGTTATATCCTTATACCTATATTTCATGATCATCCTCATCATAATTCATGCCTTTACCCCATATGAATGGGGTCGGCCACATGAATTCTCTTCTTCCATTATATTCTATTATACACCAGGTCTTCTTTTAAATTTAAATTTTTTAAGTCATTTTTAATTACGTCATCCCACGTATATGCTTTGGTTTGCCTCTTTGTCTTTTACCTTCTAAACAAACAACTCTTCCTTTTTTAATAGGTGCATCAATGGGTCCATGATGAATATGACTGTAAATAAGGTACGGACTTGTGCGTGGTGGGGTTCCATTATTTGTTTAGTATGAACTAACTATTTAATACTAAAGACATATATATATATTATATGTTTATGATATGATTCAACAAATATATATAACAGATATCTATATATGCAAGGACAAAGTGATGTGATGGAAACTTTGACTTTGGCAAATGCTTTAGCACTACTAAATACAAGCCTGTTGTTTCATTATTTTAGTAAAAAGAGGCTACAAAGGTTTTGTAAGGACAGATTAGTGCGGGTAGACCTCATCCACATGCATTTTTTTAAATATACAAGGATTAAAGTGGGGTCCATAGGACCATTACAGAATACTTGGATATTGGATATATATATATATATATATATAAGGAATTGATCATGCTTGAGGGATGAGAAAATGGGGCACTCTCCCTTGCGGGTGTATCTTGAGAATCTTTAAATATGTTGTTCTGAAAGAGGGAATAAACATATACAGAAAGTCTTGGTGCATCCCAGGACGGTAACGACACATTGAGACGGCGATTATGCGGTTAAAGCAAAAGAGCATTTTGAAGAATACTTTGACCAAACAATCACATAGATTGAAGGACAAGGTGTAATACGAAATGTCACTTACGCCAAAACTCATGACCTGGTGTCGTGTATTGTAGCAGTGACCTAGAGAGTGTTGAACTAAGTTCTAATGCTAAAATAGGAGAAAGCTAGTCGCGAGGCTATCACCAAGGGTTAGTAGATAGAATTGGTTAAAGAACACTACCCAGGTCCGGAAGCTATATCCACTTGTGCGCAGTGATATGGCTTAGGCGACTATGGTGTCACATCGAGTTGTGTGGCGTCACAATCCCAAACATGAAAATGGGTTGATTGAGGAATGGAGGATTGAGAGAGAGGTTCGTTAGATTACACAGTATAAGAACGCGACTACTGGACGATCGGATCCAGCATCCGCGTGCCATAGATGCCCCTCGCGGATACAGATGGTCTGCGGCCCTCTGAGGGTATATTTGTAATTTGACTGAAATGGTTGTAGGTGGTGTATGACAGCTGTCACATACCTGAGCCATGAGTCCTATAAATACCCCCAAGTGTCACGCATGGGAGGACACGTCAAGAAGGCCCCACTTCCACTTTGCCTCATTTTTGCCCTCTCTCTCTCCCATTCATCCCTTTCAGCTTATTCTCTCTCTCTCTTTCTGTGTTTGATTATTTCATTCAGTTTAGTTCCAGTCAAAGCACAGGTGATTTCTCAAGCTTCTGATCCCTTACATTCACAATTTGGCGACTCCGCTGGGGAGAAAATCCCTTTTTGCTATGGCTGGTCCACGTCAAGCAAAGCATACAACAGTTCTTGCCAATCTGGTTCCACTGGTTCTAGGGGAAGATGCTCCACCATCTATACAACCAAATCATGTTCCTCCGCCGCCTGTGTTGCCAGTTCCGCGACGAAGGCGAGGCAATCACAGGCTGAGAGGGCATCGACTATTCCAGCATTGCATCCTGAAGTAAGTATGTTTCCTTTGTTTTTTGCAAACCTTGTTGCAGATTCAGGAGTCTCAAAAGGAGATATTGGCTTATCTCAAGACCCATAATTCTTCTCCCGCCGCACCTCCAGTGCCGACACCAGTGGTGCCTGCTGCAACTGATGCTAGGACGCTTAAGGATGTTCAAGCCATAAATGATGATCCAGATATCACTATGATTGAGGCCGATGGTGCAGTACCAACACCAAAAAGTCGGGAGATTTTTCCTCCACCAAGCCAAAATCTACCAGCTTCCTCTTTTGTAACAATTGAGCAGCTTCAGACTCGATACAAGGAAGGATTCGACTTTGGAGATCGAAACCTCACCGCCCTATCATGATAGCATATTAACCCTGTCTTATCCAGAGGGATACATTTCACCAAAATTTAAGCAATTTGATGGTAAAGAGGGCAGTGCATGAGAATCTGTCTCGATTTGTTGATGCTCTTGGAGCTAATCACAATAATGAATATTTGAATTTGCAAGAATTTTCCAAATCTCTCACGGGGATGGCATACAGGTGGTACATGAACCTTGCTCCAGGCACAATTTTTACATGGCCAGATATGATGGCCAAATTTTTCAGCAAGTTCTTTCCTACCGATGAGAAAGTGATTTTGTTGTCCCTTACTAGTTATAAGCAAAAACTTGGTGAGGAGGTAGCTGCCTATCTTAAAAGGTTCCGGGAAGCTTCACTCGAGTGCTATGAACCTATTTCTGAAGATCAACTAGTGAAGATATGTGTTGACGGCATGCTTCGTGAGTATCGTATACATCTCGTCAATCATGAACGATTAACATTTTCTTCATTGCTCAAAACTGAAAGGAAGCTTGGGGACATCATCCCCCCACCAGTCAAAGGAGAATATTTCAGCTCGTAGGGGACAGTCATATAGAGGAAAATAACAACTTGGTTGTATCTCACCAATGGGGGCAACGAATTGGGTCTTATAATAGAGATTTGAGTTGTGACCTGGCCGCGGCTTAACATCACTTACAAGCTAAGGGTCGCGGATCATTTGCACCTACAAGTCGTGGGACGCTTGGAATATCATGTCAGAAGAAAGATAAAAAAAGTGCTCTTTCAACAGCAATAGGTTCCTGTGAGGGGACAGGATCACCATTGTCAGGAATAGCACCAACAATATCGTTTGGTGTTCCTCCAAAATTCTGACTTTCTATCCTTAGTGCATCTTCTATTATTGCTTGAAACTCAACCAACAACAGTCCACACCCTACTACCATAAAGGGAATGGTCAAGCAGTGGCTACAAACAAAACTTTTATCCGGAATTTGAATAGGTTGGAACACAACAATCAGAAAGATTGGGCAGATCAGTTGCCAATAGCACTTTGGGCATATCGAACAACGCCAAGAGCATACACAAGGGAAAGTATTCTTTAGTCTATGGCACTAAAGAAGTCTTGCCAGTCGAGCTTGAAATCTCTGCTACCCACCTAGTTGAACAAAGTATGGAATGTGATAGGTTGGTACAAGTAGAAAGCCTTGAAGAAAGGACTCAAGCAATAGCTCGGCATAATAATTACCTTGTCACTCAGTCACAGCTTTACAAGAAGAGGGTACAACCGTGAGTCTTCCACGAGGGTGATTTGGTCTTAAAAACTGCAACAACACTAATGCAGGGTCAAAAGCCTCCAAAATTTCAGGAACAATGGGAAGGTCCATTTATAGTCATCGAAGCAAATTCTAG